GAGAGAGAGAGAGAGAGAGAGAGAGAGAGAGAGAGAGAGAGAGAGAGAGAGAGAGAACGCTTCTCGTTCTGGGAGAATCTCGCTTATACCTATCTTCCTCTCTCTCGTTCTCTTTCGCAGTCCACACGGCGGGTGAGTAATTAGCGAAGGGCAAAGAAAAAAGAGAGAGAAGGAGAAAGAGAGATAGAGAGAGAGAGAGGGAAAGATAGCTTCGTGGCGATCGTGGATAAGTTTAATCGCCGACGTAAGAATTCGCGACCGCCGCATATAAAACGTTTATCTCGCGTCTGATTAGATCTATAACAAGCTTCATTATTATTTCCGCAATTTCGCATTCACGTGATGCGAACGCCCTGGCTGGCTCGCTCGCTCAGCTTGGCGCACAGGTCGTGTGCGCGCGTGCTTATATCACATACGGCTAATTTATGTGGCATTTATCTCGTAACATTACTTATCTTTCACTTCGTACAAGCGGCGGCGGCTCGCTCCTTGCTACCGCCACCGTCCACGGGACGCGGCGCATAACGAGCTCAAAGCAGGGCATGCGATAGCAGCATTGCCCGCCTAATGACGTAATATCGCCGTACAACGCCCCATCAATGCATTACGCTTCATACGTACGAAGGTGCACGCGAGGTCATATGTTGAGCGCGCGAAAGTGTGTGTGCGTGCGCGCATGTGTATGTGTATGTGTGCGCGTCGCTTACGGACGCACGGAACCACCTGTGCGCGCCGGCGGCGTTTTAAGTAATTCAACGAGTGTTTAAAAAATTCTCGCTAAATACCGCGTGCCGTCTAACGTGATCTTTATCCGGTGTCCCAGCGCGCGCATAAATCGCGCTCGACTGGACCACCACCGGCGGAAAAACCGTCCCTCTAGTTGCGGGGCGGGGAATGAGAAATTAGAATCGTGAGGACCGAATCGTGCGATTGATCGCCAGTTGAGTGCGAGAAACGTCTTCAAGTGCAGACACTTCGCTTTGATATCTTTTCCCTCAAGTTGTCAAGTGTATAACTCTCGAATTTAAATAGACTCTCTTCGAGCACATAAACAGAAGTCTCTCTCACATTGAAAAGCTTATCGTGATATTCGAAGATTAAACCGGGCTGTCTTTTATGCGTTCGTGTTTGTGTACGTATGTGCGCGCAATGATGCTGCTTACAGTCGTGCAAGGGTTTATCTTCGACGCGATAGAAGAAAGAGCACCCCGGCGGACGAAATGCTTTCGATCCGCTTCAAGGATCGATACTTTTCAGAACGTATTAGAGACGGTGGAGCGGACAGCCGGACGAAATAATCGGGAAGCTTTTTGCCCGAAGATAGCCGGGCGGATTTCCGAAAAGAAACGATCGTCAGCGCGTTAAATGGGCCGCGCGACATTAGCCGGCAGGGGGGTTACGAAATCGCAATCTGGCCGCGCGATATATCCTTGGCGGCGGCGGTGGAGACGGCAGTGGGGGATGTTCCGAGCTGCTAGGGACACGCAATAAATTTGTGTACGGATGATGAGCCTGGGTAAATAGAAGGCAGTGTGGTAGTATTGATTTCAGTGGTATATTACTCGGGCTGGCGAGGGCGCGGACGAGGGGGAGCAGAGCAGAGAGGTGGCGTTCAGGGGTGGCGGCGGCGGCGGCGGCGGCGGTGGCGGCGGAGGAGTGCGGTTGTGAGAAACGACGAGGGGCGAAGAAGGGTGACCAAGAGGAGCGGGAGAGAAGACCGAAGGAGACGAGGAAGAAGGAGGCCGGCGGGTGGAGGCTGTCTTCCACCCCTTAACCCGCTCGTTCTAGCGTTAAATATGATACAAATGTTATCATCCCTTCTATTCCGTTCTCCTGGTTCCCACCCGACGACGGCGGCGGCGGCAGTGGCGGCGGCACACGAACCACGAGCGACCATCCTCTGACCCCCGTCGTCCCGCCACCCACCCTCTCCCTCCGCGACCCCGACGTCCTTCTCTTCCGTGCCACCATTCCCCACCTCTGACTTTCTCTCTCTCCCTCTACCTTTCTCTGTCTCTCTCGATCTCTCAGGCTGTCTCTCTCGCGGCGCTACTTCCTCCGCCGACCTCTTCCCTCGTTTAACCCGGGGATAGCGGGGATGACGGTATTAAGGGCAGCTCTATTATTCGACCACCCAACCACTCGACTCTTCGCCTCGAGAATCCTCGAATCCTTTTTTTGCCCTCCTCGCTCTTCTCTTCCTCTTCCTCCTCCTTCTCCTGCTCTTCCTCCTGCTCTCCGCGCGCGCTTCCTCCTCGGCTTGACTCGTTTCTTCTTCCGAGTTCCCTCGCCTCGCCCTTCGCGGCGCGCACCCACCCTTCGTACTTTTCTGTTACGGTCCCTCTGTCTCCCCCGGCCCCGCGTCGGAGTCTCACTCTCTCGTTCCACGCCAGCCACCTTCTATCGAGGTCCTCTGTAAACAAACGCACGAGAGCGAAAGAAGAATCGAAGGCTTTCCGTCCTCCACCCCGTCTCCTTGTCCCACGTCTACCTCTTCTTCTTCTACTTCTTCTTCTATTTCTACTTCTTCTTATTCCTCTTCCTCTTTTCCTTCCTTTTTGTAGTCTCGTCACTCGGCGCTTGCTGACTTTCGCAAAGTTAAGCGAGTAGCTACAATGGGAAAAGCAGCGTGTCCACTCTCCACGGGAATGGAATTACTCGACTATGCTCGACTCGGCTGTTGCGTCGCATGTGAGATCCGCCGCGACGAATAAGCGGATATCGTCTTTACATTGACGTTTCGATCTTCCTCTCTCTGTCTCTTTTACTTTCTTTGAGTAGTGTAAACCGTCGTAAGAAAGTCCCACGCGAATCCAATTGCTTTTTCGCGCTTCGTAAAAAATCGCCTTTACATTTAGCTGTAGCAGCATAGTCACAACACATCTTGCGCACTTGTGACACACACACACACACACATATATACAGTGTATCTCATAAGTCGGCAACGGCAAGAAAACTCGACGGGGGAGTATTTTAGAGAAAAATGTTTCGAATAAAAGTTGTAAGGCTTAAAAAGTCGCATTTAATGACAGTAGTTATTTGACCTAAGATAACGTCGCCAAGGTCAGGACAAGGTCAACTTTGCTTTTTTAGATAGAAATACATATTTTTTTATTACGGCATTTTATTCTACGTAAAAAAGCAAACAACTTTTGAAAAAATTTTTTATACGACCTCTATTTTCTAAGATATTTACGTAAATATCTTAGAAAATAGAGGTCGTATACAAAATTTTTTCCAACAAAAGTTGTTTGCTTTTTCACGTAGAATAAAATGCCGTAATAAAAAATATGTATTTCTATCTAAAAAAGCGAAGTTGACCTTGTCCTGACCTTGGCGATGTCATCTTAGGTCAAATAACTATTGTCATTAAATGCGACTTTTTAAGCCTTACAACTTTTATTCGAAACATTTTTCTCTAAAATGCTCCCCCGCCGAGTTTTCTTGCCGTTGCCGAACTTATGAGACACACTGTGTATATATATATATATATATATAGAGAGAGAGAGAGAGAGAGAGAGAGAGAGAGAAACACGAACTCGTGTTTTGGGCGACGCAACTCGAAAGCGATTTTTCCGTGATGCGTCATTCGGAGAGGAAAAATAATATTCCACATGACAGTTGTGGCGAAATGGTACTGCTGACGTTGGAGCGTATTTCGATGATACACGAAATACGAGACGGAGGCACTCTTGTGTAGGTGCGTGTGTATTCGGGCCAAGGCGACGACACGTCGGTAAGCATTGTCCCATAACTTTTACGGGAGCGACTGCTTTTATGTTTCGAAGCGAGGACACAGTGGAAATGTATTAAAGCGATTATGTCGCCTGCTCGCGCGCAGAGGAGGATACACACGGGAGGGACAGGGGGGAACGACGTGCAGAGGGTGGGCTCGGCTCGGCGACGGCAAAAATCGCTCGTCGCCGACAGCGGCGGTAGGTCAGAAGTGGCCGTTCGTGGTAGAAAAAGTAATAAAGAATCGCAATAAAACGCGTTTCTCTGTACTCCAA